GCTGATTACCGATTGGCGCCGTATTACTATTCCCTGATGGTGTCGGAAGCGCCGAAACCGTTCCTCCCGTAGGAACCTCATTCGCTCCCGTAGCTGGGGGCTGATACCCACCAATCCGCTGAGGGCACTCACGGTAGAAATGGTGGGGAGACCCGCACATAAAGCAACAACGTGATGGAGGTGGAGCCGCCATCCTACGACAGCTAATAAGTAAACAAAGGAGAAAGGGGGGAGAAGAAGGGAAGAAGAAGAAGAAAGAGCACGAGGACTCGAAGTCCAGATGGTCCTATGCCTATCAGCAAGCTAACGAGCCACACTCCCATAGTATAATTTCTACGGGGGTTACGACGTTGAAAGGACGGTCGAATTAAACTTTACGCATCCAAAACAAGCATCAAAGCATAGTTAACTCATCAAACTTCAGAAGTCAACAGCACATGGACGAAAAAACAAAGAGGGGGGAGAGAGAGAGAAGAGAGAAAGAGAGCATAGAAAAGCCGACAGGCTGTAGCAAATCCCGAACGCGAAAGGATGGGTTCATTAAGATAATCGTACAACACAGATACCTATCAAGCTCGAACCGAAATTAGGCGGCGCGCCCATATCAATGATGCATATGTCGAGCAACTGGCGGACGACCCTAGATGTTTCATCCGGCCGCCAGAGCCGGACTCATCAGGGGTCTACTCGTCACGAGCTGATGAACTAACCAGCGTGTCGGACTTCTATAAGTACTACGTCTAGCCTACGTTAGGTCAGCTCTCCATAAGGTAACTCAGTCGCGACTCGTCAAACCCAAGACCGGACCCCTTTCTAGGTCCAACCGACAGAGGGGTGTCACACCCCCGCCACTAGGCCTACCGACAGTTTCGATAATGCCAAACACGACACACCAACATCGGCCCCTGAAACCGGGCCCTTAATTCTTGTAAACGGGCCCAGAGAGTCATCGCTCATGAAACCTGTGCCCCCTGTATCCCACCCCAAAGCTGAGCCAAAAGCTAAACACAATCCCACCCCAAAGCTGAGCCAAAAAAAAAAAAAACATACCAAAACCAACAGACCAAATCCCCCGGTTCAATAACCCAGTCAGGGATAACACAAACCAACCAAAACAGATTCATTCACCTCTAACGATTATCCTCCTATTGTAGTATAACCTACTATCAGGGGTAACTCCCCCTTCTAATTCCAGCCTAATTCGGTGGGTTGGACCATGAGGTCCTCCTACTTTTGGACACTCTCTATTCCCCTTTGTCGCCGCTGTCTCCTACTGTAGATAATGTAACCGAGTGTTCTGGTTATCAATCAAGGTTGTTGTGTACCAAATTTGGTCTCTGTTGGAGCATCGGAATTTCCTCTGATAAGACCATTTCCAAAAACGCTGAAAATTCGCTAAATCCAAAATGTCATTCAAGTGCACTTTTGCCTTACTGTTTCACCCTGTTTTTTTTTTTAATGGTTTGTTAATATGGTGTGCACTCTATGGAATGATGCAATTTTTGGTTAAAAAGGCCTTCTGGTTTTCTTATAAATAGCATTAAAAAAACACTGAAATTTTGGGTCTCCGTTAACTGCCTGTCCTCTTCTAGCAGTTGGGCGACCTTTTGATTGTTCTTGGCTCGCAAGGGTCGGGTATGTCCACTTGGTTTGGCAATATGGTGGAGCAAGAGGGAGAAGAGGGGAGCTGGAGAGCGGCAAGACTTCTTTTTTTTTTTTCTTTTTTTCTTTTTTGGAAGAAACCGTGTCAAATTTACTGCCAAAAAGGAGACCAGAGGCCGGGAATCCTCGCAAACAACCCGGAAAACACTAGGGCCATTACCCAGCTTAGGCTACTGCTGGAAACCGGGTTCAGCGTCCCATCAAAGATTCACAGCCCACTGGCTCTTCCTAAACAAACCAACTTTCTTCCAAACTAAACTTGAAGCCCAAGCAAAAATTATTAGAGTGGAGGGCCAACCGTTCACCCTCCTAGATTCAAAAGCCCAGTGCTATCCCCTGAAACCAATATGTATACTTATACCTACATAGGGGAACCTACTAGCCCCAGTATGCCAAGTCTGTAGCCATCAATCTTTACCTACCTGACTCTTTATGCTACCAAATCCATTTTGACTTTTGACTCTAAACCCGAGTCGCCTGGGCTAAAACAAGCCCGATTCGGGGTTGGGGGTGCGGCTAGTGCCCGGGCTTCGGCCGGGACCCTAGCACCCCGCAGGGAGAATAGCGCAGGGGCTTCGTTTTCGGCATTCCCGAGAAACGAGCAAGTAGAGGTGGTCATGGCGAGGGTTGTCGAGCCCCGGCGGGGGTCCTGGGGCCCGGCGCTCCGCATCCCCGGCCCCGGCCAAAA